TAGAATTTTGGGTAAAGTGCAGAATCACCCACTGTTTGAGTTTTTTTTTTTTTTTTTTTTTTTTTGCTTTTTTTTTTTTTTTTTTTTTTTTTTTTTTTTTTTTTTTTTTTTTTTTTTTTTTTTTTTTTTTTTTTTTTTTTTTTTTTTTTTTTTTTTTTTTTTTTTTTTTTTTTTTGTTTTTTAAGAATTTCACATTCTCGGTATCCATGTGCACATCGACCTATTTTCACATTTAAAAAAAAAAAAAAAAAAAAAAAAAAAAAAAAAAAAAAACCAGAATTGCACAAAAAATGGCACTGCTCACACCCTTGGCTTTATCTATGTACACATCAACCTATCTGCACTTAAAAAGTAAAAGAAAATTGACAAAAAACCCATTTTTTTTTAGCCCTTGTAAAAAGCGGCAAACAAATAAATGAGCGATTCTGCACTTTACCGAGAATATTTTCAAAGAAAAGGCATCATTCATTATAGAAACCGAATAGTACCATTAAGGTATAGGAGCAATCAAAACAGAAATTTATTACAAATAGTACATTTAAGATGGTATATTATAATTTTGGACTATGCGCACGTAAAAGCATTAAAGAAATTTCATTTATAAGCAGATATTCATGTTTTCAGTTTTGCAAGTATAAAATTTAATGAATCTCTTTTTAAATAATATTGCAAACTTTGAATTTCTATTAATAAAAAATATTAATTTATTTTTAAATAGTGGATAACAGTAGCACATTGTTACTTATTTAACAACTGGTCTGAGTCCATTTCCTAAATAACTAACAGTGGCATAGTATTTATATCAGTAATGGGGAAGATGCCCATATATGTTGAAGTGGAATTTCTCTAGAAGTTAATATTTTGTAATTTTAATTACTTGAATTTGTGTCAAGGGAAATAAAATATATTTAAATTCAAACTAGTGAAAAATTATTCAGTTTTTATATTTTAATTGCATTGATAATAAAATATTAATTTCTTTTTAGATAAGTGTGTTTTCTTCATTTTGATGATATCTTTCATGCCCTAGTAATCTGAATTCCTTTCTTGGCATTTTTTATGAAAGTTTTACTATAGTCCCAACTAAACGCATTTTGTAACTCATATAGAAAATTTTGTTTGCACTAATTTAAGAACACATAGAAGATAAAAATTAATTATTTTAGTACTGAAGGAAGTTCGAAAAAAATTTGGAAAAGCTGCAATATTTTAAATTTAGTATTTTTACTTTTTATGCTGTTAATTTGTTATTTAACGCATAGATATCACATTTCTATTTAGAAATGTCCCACAACATTGCATGAAGTTATAATATTATATGCGAAGGTCAAATTATTTATGCTTTTTGGTCAGAAGCACTAAAATGCAAAGTGCAATTTCAAATACATTTTTAAACAAAATTAATGAGTGAGCTTTTAAACTATGTTTTTGATTCTCATTGTTTCATAAGTTTCTGAGATATAAATTACTTGAAATTCACTACATTAAGCAATATTATACAGAAATTAATCCTCACACTAAAAACTTAATCACTACAATTATGAATTTCATATTAACCACTCATTTAAAAGATTGATTTTAATGAAGACTTAGTTTTCCCAGCGTCAGTGCAATATGCTGATTCTTTGAATAAGCATTAGGCAGGAGATAGGAGAGCAAACAATTTTGAACCACAAGAACTAAACTAAGAATGGATTCAAATATGTCCAGCTTTGGCCAATTGGATAAAATTGCTAAGTGTTGCTAATTTGGTCCAAGATTAGAAATCCCATCGAAGTAGTTTTATTCAAGTGTTCTTGCGTTTTTCCTTCATGTGTAATATGAGCTGGTTTTCCTAAGAAAATCTTTAACAAAAATATGCCTTCCCATATACAGACAGCCCTCGTTGTATGCTTTGCTTTAATCCAATAAACAAGCAAATAAAGAATGGATTTGGATACATGAATGCAAGCAGTTCACAAACAGGAACAAAAAAACTTGACCTTTTTCTCCTTCGCCAGACTAATTTTGGCCTTTAAATTACATTACAGAAACATTTCTTCATTCTGTCATAAATCTTTACAGAAATTCCTTTACTACTGCAGGTAACGAAAGGGTCGACTCTTTAGCTAAAGAAGCCACAAGCCACCCCTTCATCAACTCACAGATACCACTTTCAATAGTCGCTGCCAAACACAAGATCTTCTGCGGCTTCATGTCAATCTGGCAAGCTCGCTGGGACGACTCAGAACACCGGTCGACACATCTTTCCGTGGTTTCCACCAAAAGGCTCAAAACAAATTTCTATCTACAACAAGCTTTCACAAATCACGTAAGATTTCCCGTGTACCTCAGCAGGTTCTGCCATCAAAACGTAAAATGCGCCTGTGGTTCTTCAGCAGACATTTCACATTACATCCACGACTGTCCACTCACTTCTCCCATCAGAGCCTTCCTTCCTCAGCTCCAGGGATCACATAGCCTCAAAGACTTTCTTCGGGATTACTACAGACAGTGGAGTGTCAGAACTATCATAGAGTATGTTTATTCTAAGAGAAACATAATCATAGCAGATAACCAGGTCTAGGCACTTGACGAAATGTGAAGGCAGCAAGCCTCAACTCATGTATATATGTAAATATCTCTAAGCTAACTAACCCTTTTTGCTAATTTTACACTAACATTCCCAAAAAATTGTAAGTGGAGCACCCAACAAAATAACTATTGTTAAATTTGTTTATCTATAATAAGGTTGAAAAGATAAACAACCAAAATAGGTTGCTGTAGCAATGATCAGAATATCATGACTGACCTGTAGTGCCCATTGAGGGGTGAAGCAGCTGGAATAATAAATAAATAAATATGTTCTTCTTTCTTAGACTAGCTTGCAATGCACAAATGTACATAGTCCATTCAAGTGATCCACTGTCATTTTTAAGTGTAATTAAGTATTTACTCTGCTTAAAGTACTTGAGTGCATGCTTATGTAAGTGCATTCTATAGTTTCTTTCTAAAATTGCCCAGCAGCATACACAATTTCTTCTCTTCTTTTATCCGTTTATTCTTGAGAATAAATAAATTTTTAATTAATTTATGAGTATTTAAATTAATTAAAGAGTTTAATGTTTGTTCCATCACAATTTTCAATAATGCTACAGTCAGAAACTTAATCACTTTCATTATGCCACCTCCTTCTGTTCATATCTATTACAAAGAATTTTCATTTCTAGAGAATCATAACAAAATTGATTGATAATACACATAGAAATATTTACTGACAGCAGAGTTTAAAAGAAAAAAAGAGAGAGACAGTTCAAAAGTGATTTTTTTTCTTTAAAAACTACGTATTTAAAATCAGTTTATATATATAAACAGAGTTTCTTTATAGCTACAGTCTCATCTAGTTACATTCCTCTTCTACTACTTTGATTTTTAATAAATAATTGACACAATTAAAAAGTAAAAGAAAATAAACATTGAGGTGTTTGTGGCATTTAAAGGAATGTTAAAATTTTTGAAGGCCTTATTATCATTAGATGGTTTCAAAACTTCTTTGCAGTGTAGTAAGGGTATTAAGGTATATATTTTAGCAGGAACAGAAAACGTAATATCATTGATTTTGGAGTACCAAATCCCTTTAAATCACAGAAAAATGAAAACATTCATCAAAAGTTCAAAATGAATCATATCAAATAATTTAATTTCTATGGAGCTAAGATACAACAACGTACAGTCTTCTAACAGCACTCTCATCAGAGCCATAGCTAGGGTTTTCAGTGCTTAGAGACAACTGAAGATTCTGTGCCCCCTCCTGTTTGCCAAGGATGGAAATCATTTCAAAGCAAAATTTCATAACATCTACCTGGTACCCCATGAATTCTGTACCTGGGGACAAATGTCTTCCCTTCCCCCCCTAGCTATTCCACTGACTCTTATTATAATCCTTGACATGACACATATATAACATTTATTGAATATTAATTTCTTAAATCTCTTTAATACTGGAAATTCTTTGTGTTACACGTTTCCATTAGTAATAAATGAAATTTACCATTCACCCCCCCCCATTCATTTGATTCCTGTTTAAAAATTTTATTTAACGTTTTGTATTATTAATGCAGCACATCTTATTCTTTTTATAACTTAATAACCAACCAGATACAGTCAAAAGTCATTAATTCAGACACCCATAATCCGGACCTCAAAGCTACAAACTTTCTGCGCATGCGTATAGGCGTTTACGCATGCGCGGAAGACCTTTACGGCTACGAATATGCGTGTGCGCATGCGCATAATACGTTTACGCATGCGCGTTTAATGTATAACGGACGGTATAAGCTAAGCTAAAATTATCTAATTCAGTTAATGTTGCAGATTGCGTTGTTTCTTAATCTTCGAATTGGTTCGCCTTATTATTTTTTGCAGACTGTTACACCAATTTTATAAAAGTAAGCTTGAACTTTCGATTATGTCAAATAGAATTTCCGATATATGTTTACTAATATGAAATGGATCTACAAAGCGAAAGTATGTTTCGAAATCTGAAATCTGTTTATCAATTTCACGCTGCTCTGCGGAGGGGGGGGGATGCCATGGCTCGTAATGAATTGGAAGTTGATCTGTCAGCACTATCCTTATCTTCAGGGCAGATGTTTTTATTTTATTTGGCTTATAATTTCTTACTTAATGTGGTATTTCATCTCGATGTACTCCGTCTTTGATATGAGTTAAATCAAGTTCCTTGTCATTATAATTCGCTTCCGATAGTGAAGAAAGTGACACAGAGGTTATTGAAAACGAAAAAATTTCGATTGACAAATTAGTGGGTATTCACGACACAGCAATTATAGAACTTAAACAGCGGAAATTCGTAACTAAACAAGAAATTATGTCTGTTTAATAGAATTAAAGAGAAAGTTTTATCACATGAAATGAAGCAAAACTTAAACAACTTACATTGAAAGAAATGTTTAATAAAGTACACAAATAAATATTAAGCTTTTTCTTTTTGTAGATTTTGATACCCTTTAGATCATAATTGTTCTTTATTTCATAAATTATGGTTTTATATTTTTAATTTTGTAATTTCTGCATGCCATCTTACCATATTTAAACTGATGATCTATAATCCGGAATCACCGACGAGCACAGATTAACGACTTTGGACTGTAGTTCATTTGCAGTCTTTAAATCACTGGAGAGTTCTGTTAAAGTACAAAGTATCAGAAATATTAATTATCCCATCTAAACCATACTTGGAGTTTTATAGTTATTCACAGGATGTAAATTTTAATGGTTTTGCAATTCTAAATAACTGTGGTACTGATACCTTAAAAGAAAGAATGTACAGAAACCATTGATTATGTCACTTGCTGCAGTCATGAAAGAGATGGAAAGAAACTTTTAGTACCTAAGAAAAGCAAGCGCTCGAAGCTATAAACACAACTGTAGCTCAGTGCATCCTCACCATTATTTCAGCTCCACTACACCAGATCAATTTGATGTCTGGAATCTGAATGCAGACTAAATTGGACTGCCATTGGAAACCATGATAACAGCCTATTTATGCAGGGTCCAGTTTTAATGGATATGGCACCAATGTAAATACTTTCTAACATTGCTTTCTGGAGACAGCAAGGCTAGTATTAGAATCAATGCAGCTGCATCAAGAAGCAATATTTGGGGGCAGCAAAAAGCCTAATGCTAGCCTACATACAACTCAGATTTGTGTGTATAGCCATATATAATTACTAAATGACAATTTGATAATATTACCCAAAGCCTGTATATAAAAGTCTAATCTATTCCAAAACCCAGTGGAACTTAGATAACTATGAGCTTTTCTTTCAACTTTAATGTAATCCTTTCATATCTAAAATATCTGACTTGTATAAAGAAATGATAAAAAATAATTTCCCGGAATAAAAAAAATTAGATACATTATAGCTGCTAGTAAGACAACACAGTGAAAAATGTTTCATCTTTTACTATAACCACTAAAAATATCCAATTTTACAAAAGGAACTATTCATGAAGTATATGGGTGCCATGAACATGATTTTAAATAAAATTGCTACACATAAATATTAACTTATTTTATTCTAAAAAACAAATATAAATATATATATAAATTCTGACAAGTAAATGCATATTAAAATAAAATTTAAATATTGAATATATCTTTAATCACAACAAAATATAGTTTATTTCAATGTTTAAAAATATGATTAAAGTACTGACATAATGAGATTCATAACTTTTATTCACATAGTGAATATAATGCATTCATTCTTCTCTGCTTAGGTGCTAAGTAATAACGGTTGCTACAATTATCTGCTTTAAATAATTAACTTGTTACTTTATCAAACATGTTCACCAGGCATTATAAATTTATTTACTGACACGAGTATTTATATCAGTATTAGATCTTATGGACATTTTTTTTTTTATTTTAAGAACAGCCAAAAAGCTAATTTTTGGTTTTTGAGTTGAAATCTCTTTCATTCTGAATAAAGTATGAGATTGGTATTTATTAAGAAGCAGTTTAAGTATTAATATATTTAAGATCAAATACCAAAACACTGACTTTTACATAATTTAGTCAATTTGTACACTTCCAACAGCATTAAACCCTTAACTGCCGCAGTAAATGTATAAATTCATTTCCCAGTGCCACAGTTTTTCACAAAGGCGCGCGTAGTTATGCGATGTATTAGGGGAAAAACAAGTGCAAGTTTTACTTTCTAAAAACTGTTTACTTTCACAAAATAAAGAATAAAAGAAAAAAAATGGATGCACAAAATTTAATGTTTAGAATAAAAGTATAATAAAAAGATGTAAGTATAATAAAAAATTATGTTTTTATAATAAAAAAAGATCACTAAAATGAAGTTTTGATCAATTTATTTTTAGACCAGTAAAGTGTAATATCAGGTTTCAGTGTTATACCTTGTGAAATCAGTATGCCTAAAAAAACATATATTTCTTCTGAACTGGTTGAATGCCACGATTTTGTTCTTAATTTTTTTTTAGCAAAGTGTTGGTTCATATACTCGTCTACCAAATGGTTAGTTTCCGTAACAAAATGCAGCATGAGCAGTTCATCAAAAAAGATAAATGGGTTTGAAACATTTGTTATATCTTTCTTTATTCCTGGAACCTAGTACAAAAAGTAAACGAAAACAGAGGACACAGAATTTGAAAAAAAAAAAAAAAAAAAAAAAAAAAAAAAAAAAAAAAAAAAAAATTTACTCAAATAACACCAGCTAGTACTGCACAGTCATTACTTTCACCGCTTTAGACACATCCCTTATCTCCAATTTCTCCCCACACTTCTCTGAAATAGTATCGTCCTTCACATACTTTGTCAAGGTCATTGTGGTGTTGCATTCCAAAGCTTTGCGAATAACTTTACGGGCAGCAGGGCAAAGCAAATGACAGTATTTTGGAAGGATGTATATATACGCCCGGGGCAGTTAACGCATTGGCTGAGCAAGGCGTGTATATATGCCCGCAGCAGTTAAGGGGTTGAAGAGTCTACTATTACTGTGTAATGTAGCTAGCATCGTATGTTTACAGTTTCAGTTTTTATTTAGTGTCAATTTAAAAATTTTTAAGTCTTAAGAAATGATTTTACACCTTCAAGTAAAAGTACTTTGGTAAACAAAATTAAATGGCAGTATAGCATAATGGCAGTCAAAAACTTTCTAATACAATTAGTCCACCAAAATCTACCATAGCGTGCCTCCTACAAGAAGAAAATCAACTACGTGAAGAGTGGGCATTACAGAAAGAAATTCCAGGAAATCCAAAAAAGAATTCGATGGAAAAGATTTAGAGTTGAAAAAGCATTAGATCAATATTTTTCTATAATTAGCAAGAAGGGCATGTGTATCAGCAGCCTAATGCTGAAGGTAAAAATTGGAGGAAACTTCTGAACAGTTGGACCAGAATGATTTTAAAGCGAATTGTTACTGGCTGTCTCAACGGAAAATGAGATACAATATCAAATTTAAAAAAGCACAATAGATATCATAAGTGTTGAAGAATGGAAAAAAGATTAAATCCCTATATTTTCAGAAAATTTCTAATTAAACAATATTTACAACACTGACGAAACCAGCCTCTATTATTGTGCTATGCCATATGGGTTCTTCTATTATAAGAACACTGCACTTTTAGGGTGTAAAAGGGCATGTATTATGTCATGCAAATATGTCAGAATGAAAACTATTAACCCTATCACAAGCTTTCATTAATAATGCCCAAATTTCCCAAAATTGCCACAAGAAAGATGTATTTACTCAATTCTAATGCCAACATGCCCTCGTACTTTTTACCTGGATTTATGTACTTTTATATATATTGCTTTAATTTCTTGAACATATTTCAAGACACATGTTTATATACTTTCTTAAAGATGTCAAAAAATATTCTAGGCTGTATACATATGGCCTTGCAGGTCAAAAGGCTAACTGTAGGAAACAATGCTAAGTTTTGATGCTTTATGTGGTTAAGAATAGAGAGCTTACCAGTATTGTACCAGGCCAATAGTAATGTCTGGATTACTTCTAAAATTTGTCAGAGCTGGTTTACGAGTTGGTACATAGAATTACAATGTAAATAAAGGAAAATTTAATTGCTTCTCAATAATTTTACTGCATATCCCCATTTATATAATTTTAAAAATATAAATGGCTGGAATTTTTTCCTTCTAATATAACATCCTTAGTGTAACCACTGGTCAATGGGATAATAAAAAATTTAAAGACGCTGCAGCAAGGAAAATTCATTAATTATACACAGAAGTCCATTGATGAATGGCAAAAATTTCCACTTTCTAAGAAATACTGTTTATTGTTGACAGTTGGCGAGCTATAAAAAGCAACACAATGCAAAACTGTTTTGCAGTTTGCGATTAAAAACCGTTGGAGGTTCCTAAATTTTGAGCAGAGGGGAAAATGAAGGTCTTACAAGTTCCTGCCAAGAATAATGAATTTTCAACAATAGATAACAATTTGCTATGTTACAATAAAACTGAAAACTTTGAGGACGTAATTTTTGAACACATTAAATTCAAACATAAAAAATTTGATGATCCGCCCTATGTTTGTGACTAATCATGAGGCAAGGGAAAAAAAGTATAATTTGGTGTCAGCATTATTTTATGTGAATAATGGAGGAAGCCCTATACCAGCACTGATATATGTGCTGATTTTCAGAACTGCAAAATTTCAGTAAAAGACAAACAAGTAAAAGACAAACTATACTAGATGCATTTCTGCAGAATTAAAATTTGAAAGTGTAAAAATTATCTTCTATGTATATTTTTTAGGTACAAGTACAAATATTTTCTGTATTTTGGTTTAATACAATATTAAAATAGATACCTAATTAATACTATTTTTTATTTAGCTGAGGCAGCTGCTTAATTGGGCCAAAATGAATAAGGTCCAATCAAGCAGAATCACCTATTCTAGAAATCAGTAACTGCTAAAATATACTGATAAAATATAAATAAAAGTGTTATTTATTAAATAACTATATTTATTGTTGAAGTCGCAATGCCATATTTCTATGATGTAACCGTTGATCAGCAACGTAAGAAATTGTTTTAAGATTAGGATTCTGAAGTTTGACCAGCTAGTAGATGTATGAAAATTTTGCTAAGAATTGTATACAAATTATCTATCTCCGTAAACTAAAAATAAAATTTATATTTTATTAAAAAGTTTATCTGTTTTGTCAATTACTGCAAAATACATTACAATACTTTTACTTAACTTCACACATTATTATAGATAACTGATGTAAAAGTACACTCACTTCCAAAAGTTAAGCACGAAAAGGAAAATGCTTATTTCCAGAAGCCAATCAGAATTGAAGAGGAAGCAATTCACTGCAGAGGTAGATGGAAATATGAAAATATGTTAGGTAACAGCCAATCGTGCTTTCATGTCAAGAAAAATGCAAAAAAAGGCAGTCTTATAAGAAGCCAGCTTTATGAAGGGTTATAGAAGTTGTTTGTAAGTGCTGATAGAAGGTGTTTAAAGCTTTCGTTTCTTTTTTTTCAAGACAGACGTGTTTCTATAACTTCCAGAAGACGAATGGAAGACTCTGAGCGCTGGCGTGCTGTGGGACGCATTGAAGTAGGACAGTCGATCACAAATGTTGCTCTTTTCTTCGGCGTTCATCATTCTGTAATTTCACGTTTATGGAAACAATTCCAAACCACACAGACAGTTGTCCGAAGGCCATAGCCGGTTGCCCAAGGGTTACAACCCCGCGGAAGATCAATATATTGCTATTGTAGCCAAGCAGAATCGCAGAACGACCTCCACATGTGCGACATCTATGGTTACGGCGTCCATTGGTAAGGAGATGTCCGCAGCTACTGTACGCCGAAGATTATATATAAGGGGACTGTACGCCCGGGTACCTCGAGTTTGTGTTCCTCTATCTGTCCAATCAAAAGGGGCACGATTACAGTGGTGCCGGAACATGTCAATTGGAATGTATCTCACTGGGGCAATGTCATGTTTACTGATGAGTCAAGATTTGCTCTGGAGCCAGAGGACAAGCATATAAGAATATGGCGTGAACAACGAACATGCAATCAGTCCCAAAACATTATGGAACATCACGCATTCCAAGGCGGAAGCATTATGGTGTGGGCAGGGATTTCATAAGGACACCGCACCGACCTGCACATCTTTAAACGGGGTTCTTTGATGGCTGTCCAGTATCGAGATGAAGTCCTACAACCCATTGTGAGATTGTATGCTGCAGCAGTTGGCCCTACTTTTGCTTTAATGGACGATAATGCACGTCCCCATAGAGCTAACATCGTTGATGACTACCTGGAGAGTGAAGGGGTTGCACGTATGGTGTGGCCAGCATATTCGCCCGACCTTAATCCCATTGAAAATCTTTGGGATGCTCTCAGCCATGTTGTAATTTCACTTTTCCCACCTCCAACCACTCTTATTGAGCTGGAAACTATTGTACAAAAAGAATGGCGATTGCTTAATTCTGCGGTGGTTGACCACCTAATTGAAAGCATGGTCACAAAGTGTAAACTTTGTATACAGATGAGGGGGTCACATACCCTATTAATGTCCTTTTTTTCCTTTTATGCTGTTTATTTTCACTTTCTACATAATTCTGTTTAAGACTCCAGTATGTCGTTATCTGATAACTTACAAAAATTTAATATTGTTTTCAATTCTGTATATAATTATTGATTTTGTTTTATGCATAAATATGTATGCTACTTCTCTCCTGCCGAATTTTGTGTCAATCAAAGCAGTATCTGTTGATTTTTTTGCATTTTACATCTTCATGCTTAACTTTTGGAAGTGAGTGTATATAAATCCTGAAGCTTAAACAAAGATTTTAATTCTATTATGATATAGTTCAATAATTTGCTTTCACCATATGAATGGCAATTACAGCTATCATGATACACTTTTCCCTCTCTGCTTTGTTATACAACACAGGGGCAATTTATAGTAAAAATTATACAACAATAATGTAATTTTATTATAATGATGATTTACTGAATGATGGAGCAAGAAGATATTTGAAATCCTCTGAAACAGCAATATGATGTTTTTCCATGTAATTTCTGCTGTTATTTTCTGTTTCATTTATGTAATACCTGCAATAGGAGTAAAATATAATGTATTAGTTCAAATTAGAATATTCCTTTTCTTATTATAAGCAAAATTTTACTTATATTTTAGAATTTAAAAAACAATTTTTTAATGGCTGTCTGATTTATTAGATGACAATAAAAATCAATATTTAATGCTTCATTTTTTTACCTGATAAAAATAATAGGTTAGCATAAAAGATCAATCTACTCATCAGTCAGAAAAACATCTGAATGACAAAAAAAAACACGACCATGTCATTCACTTGCCAAACAGTATAACAAATATTTTAACAGTTTTGTCATTCCACAAATCTTAAAGAAAATCGACATATCTTATTGTAGTGTACTTGCATAATTTTAGAAAGGCATAACTATTAAAATTAATGCATGGATTAATTTTTAACCAATGAAACACAATCCATTACTTAAAAAAATTATACATCATAAATACAAACTAATACTCTAACCAAACTTTCATACATGCAAAAATACAGACATATATAAAATCAAGAAAATTGTTTCAAAAGAATAAATTGAATAAATATATTGAATAAATACAAATTTAATTAATTCTTTGCGCCATTGCTGCAAGGAATGAAATTTAAATTTAACAAACATGTATATATGTAAAAAAGCAAATTTAAAGTTAAAACAATGTGCAAATATATAAAAGATTTGATTTTCGAACTAATCTACAATATCATTTAAATTCAGATAGCATAAGGAAATCAAGTGCAAAAACAAAACATGAAAATAAAATCACCAATTTAGAAAAATTAAAATTAATCTAAAATAATTTTTTTTAATGCATAAGTGAATGACTGTTGAGCAGGCAGGAGACAGACTTATCAAGGGGAAGTTGCCTCCAAACCTAACTCTTCAATCATTCAATTCGTGTCTCGTCATTCATGCAAGCAAGGGTAAAAGTCAAAACCAAAAGTAAATACATAGTGAAGGAATGTCCAAAAAGAGAATACCAACTAAGTGGTACCTTGAGTAATTAGCAATTAAAAAATTAAAGGTTAAAGGAAAATACCAATAATGAAGTATTTTGAGAAATAAGCAATGTAAAGTTTAGTATTAAATTAAATTTTTTTAAAAATTAAATTTTCCAGAAAAATTAATTTAGAAACCAATGCAGTGTACAAGTACTTCCATATTATTAGATACAACTTACTCAATTCTTCAAGTCAAGTATCTTATATTGGTAAAGGCCGTTAATGGTCGATTGCCTCTTACTAAGTGATAAGACATAGACATAGATATCACTTAGGAAATACTTTTGCAGACCCCAATGCTTATATGGTAGGTAAGTTAGAATTAAAACTTACTATTTACTTGCTTTTAGGTACTTTTAAAGTATTTTTTATGTAGCATTTAAGTATTTTCTAGATATGTAATTATACTTTTAAGTATACATTTGTTTTTTATAAATTATGAATTAGTTCTTTTTAGTTTCTAATTGGTTTATACGAGGCACGTCCAGAAAGTAAGTTCCGTTTCAATTCATTTTCGCTGCAGCTCTGCGATCGCAGTTCCGCACATGCGCAGTAGATGCTCTATATCAAGGAGAAGAAATGCACGCCATTTGGAGATCGCTGTCAGTCACGTATGCTTTGTTGTGCTTGTTTACAATGTCGGTGTTGATTGAAAAACCCCCCGCCACTTGTGAAATCAGACCTGTGATTCGTTTTCTGAATGCAAGGAAAGTGAAACCTAGTGAAATTTATCGGCAAATTTACGATGTTTACGGACCAAAAGCGATGAGTGATTCAATGGTGAGAAGATGGTCTGAAAGTTCAATGATGGACGTAGTGATGTGCACGATGAAGAACGAAGTGGGCGTTCATCTTTGGTTACAGAAGAACTGGTTCACGCGATTGATGACAAGATCCATGAAAACCGAAGGTTTACAATTAGTGCTCTCGCTATGGAATTTCCCCAAATTTCACGATCACTAATGCATGAAATTGTTACCGAAAAACTGAAATTTCATAAATTTTGCTCACGTTGGGTACCAAAGATTCTCACTGAGCAACACAAAACAAAATGGATGGGTAGTGCACTTCAGTTTTAGACCCTCTTTGCTGAAAGCGGCGAAGAATTTCCGACACAGATAGTCACAGGAGATGAAACTTGGGTTTCTTACAACACCCCTGAAAGTAAGCGGCAATCAATGGAATGGAGGCACACTTTATCACCAGCAAAGGTTAAGCCGAAGCAAATCTTGACTCCTTGAAAAATGATGTGCACAGTGTTCTGAGACTGGAGAGGCATCTTACTCATTGATTTCTTACCGCGTGGTCAAACAATCAGAGCAGATGCTTATTGCGAGACACTTCGGAAATTGCGCCGCGCAATACAGAATAAGCGCCGAGGATTGCTGTCAAAAGATGTTGTTTTTCTTCACGACAACGCGTGACCACACACTGCAAATGTGACGAAAAACCTCCTACAGGGATTTGGCTGGGACGTGTTTGACCATCCTCCGTACAGCCCTGACCTCGCTCCTAGTGACTTTCATCTGTTCTTACATCTTAAGTCTTTCCTTGGCGGTCAACACTTGAACAATGATGACGAGCTGAAAGAAACTGTTTCCAACTGGTTGAAGACACAGGTGGCAAATTTCTATGAAGAAGGTATACAAAAACTTGTGCCACGCTATGACAAATGCCTGCAATATTTCGGCAGTTATGTGGAAAAGTAGTTTAATAGTTGTTGAATTTTGTGCAATGAATAACTTTTCTATAGCTGTACACAATTTACTTTTATTACCAAACGGAACTTACTTTCTGGATGTACATTGTATTAATTTTGTTTAGTTCCTTTTTGATTAATATGCATATTAATGTCGGGAAGGTTTCTGTAGATAAGGGTTTCTAAAATGCATTGGTTTCTAAATTAACTTTTAAAAAAATTTAATTTAATACTAAACTTTACATTGCTTATTTCTCAAAATACTTCATTATTAGTATTTTCCTTTAGACCTTTAATTTTTAATTGCTAATTACTCAAGGTACCACTTAGTTGGTATTTCTTTTTGGACATTCTTCACTATGCATTTACTTTTGGTTTTGACTTTTACCCTTGCTTGCATGAATGATGAAACACAAATTGAATGATTGAAGAGCTAGGTTTGGAGGCAACTCCCCTTGATAAGTCTGTCTCCTGCCTGCTCAACAGTCATTCACTTATGCATTAAAAAAATTTTTTTTTAGATTAATTTTAATTTGCTAAATTGGTGATTTTATTTTCATGTTTTGGTTTTTGGGTTACAACCTTGATTACACTTGATTTATTTGACACTTGATTTGCTTATGCTATCTGAATTTAAATGATATTGTAGATTAGTTCCAAAATTAAATCTTTTATATGTTTGCACATTATTTTAACTTAAAATTTGCTTTTTTATGTATATACATAATTGTTAAATTTAAAATCAAGAAATATATTTTTACAATCATAAAAATATTCCTTTAAAATTCTTTATTCATTCAGTAAGCTTGTAATCATTTTTATCAAACATAGCCCTGAATTACATATCAAACAAAATTTTGGAAGACAAATCTGTTTCACTAAAATATGCCTTATTCCACTTGAAATGAAAACTAAAAGTACCAAATTCAATCAAAAAAGATAATTTACTTTTTAGCCCATGAAGATTAAATAAGTTCATTCTTCAGATGGAAATTATTTAAACATACGACAAATGTTTTAAAAAGATGCTATATTGTCTTTTAGAAATAGGCAAAACTAAAAGAATAGCCATTTTAATTTTGCAGTCTCTGATCTAGGCAGCTCAGTGTATGGAAAAGGAGTTCAGTTCCATTCTTTTGTGTTCCTGGCCAACAAAAAAAGAAAACTGGTGATGTTATTTGAAATCAAATCTATTATAGGCAAATATTGCTTTCTCTCTGTGCCACTTTATTTTTATGTCTGCCCAAATAAAATATATTTTACCCTTAACTTCATTGATTATCCAAATGCATAAGCATATTTAAAAGAAGTGCAAAACCATTTCACTGCAGTCCAGCATATAAAAATAATGAACCGAATTATTGCTTATATACACTCACTTCCAAAAGTTAAGCACCAAGAAAAAAATGCTCATTTCCGGAAGGCAATCAGAATTTAAGAGGATGCAATTCGCTGCAGAGGTAGATGGAAGTATGCAAATATGCTGGGTAATAGCCAATCATGCTTTCGTGTCAAGAAATATGCAAAAAAGGCAGTCTTATAAGAAGCCAGCTTTATGAAGGGTTACAGAAGTTGATTGTAAGTGCTGATAGAAGGTGTTTAAAACTTTCATACAATTTGTTTTCAAGACATACCTGTTTCTATGATTTCCAGAAGACTAATGGAAGATTCTGAGTGCTGGCGTGCTGTGGGGGCGCATTGAAGCAGGACAGTCGAATCACAGATGTTGCTCTTTTCTTCGGCGTTTCATCATTCTGTAATTTCACGTTTATGGAAACAATTCCAAACCACCACATAGACAGTTGTCCGAAAGTCGCCCGTAGCCGGTCGCCCAAGGGTTACAACCCTTCCGTGGAAGATCGATATATTGCTATTATAGCCAAGCGGAATCGCAGAGCGACCTCCACACGTGTGACATCTATGGTTACAATGTCCATTGGTAAGGCAATATCTGCAGCTACTGTACGCCAAAGATTACATATGAGTGGACTGTATGCCCAGGTACTTGAGTTTGTGTTCCTCTATCCAATCAAGAGGGGCACGATTACAGTGGTGCCAGGAACATGTCAAATGGAATGTGTCTGACTGGGGCAATGAGTCAAGATTTGCTCTGGAGCCAGAGGACAAGCGTATAAGGATATGGCGTGAACAACGAACATGCAATCAGAACCAAAACATTACCAAACATCATGCATTCCGGGCAGGAAGCATTATCATTGGGCAGGATTCGTTAGGACCAGCACAGACCTGACATATCTTTAAACGGGGTTCTTTGACACGACTGTCTAGTATCGAGATGAAAGTCCTAGAACCTATTGTGAGATTGTACGCTGCACCAGTTGGCCCTACTTTTGCTTTAATGGACGATAACGCACGTCACCATAAAGCTTACATTGTCGATGACTACCTGGAGAGTGAAGGGATTGTGCATATGGCATGGCCAGCATATTCGCCCGACCTTAAGCCCATTGAAAAACTTTGGGATGCTCTCGAGTGCTATATCTTCACGCTTCCCACCTCCAGCCACTCTTATTGAGCTGGAAACTACTCTACAAGAAGAATGGGAATTGCTTAATTCTGCGGTGGTAGACCACCTAACTGAAAGCATGGTCACAAGGTGCAAACTTTGTATAAAGATGAGCGGAAGATCACATGCCCTATTAATGTCCTTTTTTCTTTCATTTTATGCTGTTTATTTTCACTTTATACATAATTCTGTTTAAGTCTCCAGTACGTCATTATCTGATAACTTTTGCATTTTACATCTTCATGCTTAACTTTTGGAAGTGAATGTATTATGCTGTAATTCTTAAATCAAAATTATATAAAAAAAGTGTCAAGTAATCAGCAGAAAGAGACATCGTACATATTAGAGATAAATTTATCTATGCTAATTGCAGAAAAACAACAATGTTAGTTAATCTCTTGTAAAAATATCATTAAATTTTTTGACATCACTCAAAGGCAATGTAGACAGTCTATTACTCAGTTATTTAGAAAATGTGAAAAATATAATAAAATATTAGTACTTCTGGAATGGCCTTGGTGAGAAAGTGTATTTGATATGTTTCTCCATTGGTAAGAAACAAACAGTTACTGTTCTGCACATGTGCAAGAAACAAATGGTTAACAATCTATCTAGTTTTCCATTTTTGCATTGTGTCAATATAATGGGTTTTCATTGCAAAAAAAAAATATGTATAATGCTTACTATTTTCAATCTTCCATCAATGGAATAAGAAGCTATAGTTAGTGTTTGAGGTATTATTAGCAGCAATTGTTGAACTATAGCCACCAGAAAGAGTAGATAAAAAATTAACTTTTTGGAATGTTTACACAAATACATGAACATGCATGCATGCACATATTTAATAAATTGCTAACAAAACTGTATTAAATAAAATAGAATTTTCCAGCATGTTGATATATGTTGTTTTAAATAAATTCCTTACATAATTTCATCAATACAATAATTAATGTGTATATTAAATACGTTTTGTTAAATTATGTTGTTATTTTAAATAAATTGCTGACAAAATTGTATTAACTATATAAATACAAATTTATAATAAATAATTTGGGTCATACAGATACTGAATGAGTTGCCAGTTTATCATGTACCGTAATAGATTTTGTTTTCATGGATATTTACAAACATTTGGCAGCAAATTACACTAAGCCTGAATTGTGCCAATGCCATTTTTTCTTGCTGACGCTGCTACAGATAGCAAGTACCAAAATATTTATGTCCCCCCTCGTACAGCAGTTCGCATGACATGGCAGAAAATTATTGCACAGCTGAAGTTCAAATTCTAGTATAAAAGATGCACCCACTTCCTGTTGCAGACATTATTGTGAATTAAAGTTATAATTTTGAAATAAAGTACATAATTACCTATAGTTGACCATCATACCACAGGAGTTATCTAGGCCTCGAGGTGATAGATCAGCTGCCCAATTCAAACGCCATAATACTGCTCCATTTCTTAAATGAAAATGTGCTGAGAAAAATAAATAAATAATTAAAAAAATACTTCTAATTTAAAAAAGAAACTATGTGATTTAAAGTTTTTTTTTCTTTAATAGTATACTTAAGTAATTAACACTAGAACTTCAAATATCAAACTATTATGGTGATTACAAATTTTATTTTTTAAACTAGATTTCTAATATTATACCTAGTTCTCAAAGTAGTATTTTCTATAATACAACTCAATGGATACTTAAAAAATAGCAATCCATTTTCATAATTTAAACATGATATAAATTATTGGAATCGCTTCAAATTAACCTATAAGATAGCAGTTTAAAAAATTATTACTGTAAAATGAACACACAGTTTAAAATATTTGCTGTCTCTTATGTTAGATTTGCAAATGGCTTGAAATTATATATATAATGATATTGCATAACTCTACTGTTAATTAAAATTATAATGTAATAAATACTATTATTAAATCACATGCATTTTTGTATATAAATCAATCCTTAGAATAAAAGCTTTATTAAACAGTACAGTATTTAATACATTATAATTTCACATAACAGCAGTATTATGCAATATTACTACAAGTCTAAAAGGATCTGTCTTATTTTCAGATTTCCACCTTTATGAAGATTCATTTTACAATGTTGTGAATTTTTGTAAATATTTTCCATCAACTTATTTGACCCCATGGTTGTTTTTGTGCAACTGTAGTGATATTTCCTATTATCTATTTATTTGTTTAATTTTTGCATTTTATTTTTATTCCAAATTTATATTTACATTAAGACACAATAACACGCCGAACAATTACTAATTCAAAAGTCAAACAACAAAAATCAGCGTTATATTTTCAAATTTTCACAGGACTGGTTTCGATGGTTTTACCAAACCACCATTCTCAGCTGCAAAAATGCAAATGAACGAGATAGGATATAACAATTAGCTAAGATAAGAAAGCCTGGACAGAAAATAAGCTAGTGGCGCCATCTGTTGATGAAACCAGAACTAAAACATAATTTCTTTAAAGGCCGAAGGCAAAGATGGATTGGAATTAGGATCGTTAACTAGAACAGATTTGTTCTGGTTTCATCAACAGATGGCGCAACTAGCTTATTTCCTGTCCAGGCTTTCTTATTTTATCTAATCATTATATTCTATCTTGTTCATTTGCGTTTTTGCAGCTGAGGATGGTGGTTCGGTAAAACCATCGAAACTAGTCCTGTGAAAATTTGAAAATATAACGGTGATTTTTGGTGTTTGACTTTTGAATTATATTTACATACCCCAAAAATAATTATAGTCAATGAATTACTTAATTTCAGGCAATGCATGAAAACAAGCCAGATTAGCATTACCCAATAAAAAGTGGTGAAATGGTTTTTCACCACTTTTTGCAATCAAGGTGTTTCGTGGCAGTGAATTAAGTGCTTTGCATTACGTGAATATCCGAGTGAGCTTCTGTAATACGACAATTGAGTTAGTGTGTAAATGCTCAAAACAATTTATTATGGCTCTGAAGTATCAAAGAATCTGTGAAGGGGCGAATTATCAACTGTTTAGAAGCAAGACAGACAATCATAAATGCAATAAGGTGTGCGAACATTTCAAAACAGTCTGTTTTCTATGGAAACACTTTCTGAACTCTGGAACTATTGTAAGCATGCCTGAACGCATATAAGCAAAATGTACACTGCTAGGACAACAGCTTGAGTTTGGCCAATGACAATCCAGATAAGGGTCACCATTAACTCCACCCACATGAGTGATGTCACATTTCTGACGCCTTGCCTGAGCCGACATTTGTTTACATTCTGCTATTCAGCCTTAGGAAGTGCGTTGTTTGAATGAAAACCATTTTTACACTGCAATGTAAATTTGTTCTAGTGATACAATTTTTTAAATTTTCCTTTAAAGTATTTTTTCCTTACTGTTCCAGAAGAATATAAATTTATGTCTGAAACATTACAAAATTTCGCTCTATATGCATGAGTGTGTATACACACGCATGCACACATACACATATTTTCACTACATAATCATATGTAAATTATATTTATCAATATGCGTGTGTATGCATATAAATATGAGTGAGTGTGTGTGTATGCGTGTATTCATTTTTCAGAATGTCAGATTTGTAGCAAATAATCTAGAAAGCTTTTTTCTCTTAATTTTTCACATCTCCACATACTGTTTTTAAATAATTAAGATGATTGTATTCATATTTAATATTTCTGCACAACTTGATTTATCATTTAAAAATGCATTTATTTAATTTTGGATAAAGTGAGTTAATTCCAGTAACATATGATTTTTAATAACAGAATAATTTCTCTAAAGAAGTTTTTGTTCATTTTTATAATTCCTTTATAAGATTTACTTAATAATAAATTAATAATTACTTTTAAAAGTTTACTTAATAATATTAGAAATAATTAATCTGTTACTCCTTACACATCTCTTAAATATGTCAACAGAAAATTTTCATTCAACAGCTTTATAAATTTATTTTATGCAGTATTTTAATTTAATAAGAACTAGTGTTGATAAGTGAATTTCCATTGGTTTCTTTATACATTTAGTTTAGAATTCAGTTTTCAGTGCATGTAATTATTTTCCTTTAAGGCCCTCCATACACAGCCCAACAGCGGCTGAGCGGTAAAGTGACTGGAACACTGATAGTTCGATCCGAGTTTGATTCCAATTGGACAGGCTGGCTGCATGAGCACTTATCTTGGTTTTCCACATGTGTAATATGGATATGAGAGTTTTTCTCTTAGAAAATCCTCCACAAAGACATCCTTCCCACATAGACCTTGCATGCTTTCCATAATCAAACAAACCAAACCAACCTTTCCAGCGAAACAGCTCCTCAAAAGAAATTCTTCATATCTGTCTAGCAAATGACATTCGTTAACCCGCGGGAAGGCGTGTGGGGTGTATCATACCCCAACCCTACATAAAAGTGGAATATTCCTAACTTGTGAAACTGAAATTCTGTGCTACTTTCAGTAGCTGAGTTTCTAGTTGTGGTTGACTTTCAGAACCACTTTTTCTTTGCCTGCGCGTTTCAGAAAAAGATTTATCGGTATTTTGTTGGAACTGGGGTATGACACACCCCACGTGCCTGTCCGTGTAAGTGCTTTTCTGACTGAACATTTAGATCAGAAATTTATTTCTAGAGTGTAACAGTAAATATTTCTACTCGCAAGTGATTTTAAAGTATTTGACATTAAATTCTTAAAAATTTCTACCTGCATTATGGTAAAAAGAATGAGTTTCTATGAACTGGAGATGCAACGCATGCGAGATTTATTAGAAATATTTGAAAGCGATGAAGATTGCATTTCGGAAACTGAAGATGAAACTAAGAATATTTTCTACAATGTTTTGGTTTCGAAAAAGATAAAACATTAATTCCTGATGTTCCTAAAAAAGGAAAAACTATTCTTATGCTTTATATAACGATCATTATAACATTATAACATTATATAACGATCATACTATAGATGATACTATTGGAGAAAATAAAACGTTAGGAATTATACGTTTTAATAATATGACTAAAGGAGCAGTGGATATGGGGGATGAAATGTCAGCCAATTATTCAATTGCCAAAATAACAAGAAGGTGGCCAATGGTAATTTTCTTTCCTGCACTGAATGTTGCTGTAATAAATGCTTGAATTATATTACATTCAACTACTACTAATCCACCAACAAGAAACAGAAGTCTGTTTTTGAAGGACTTAGAATTACAATTAATGAAAAAAGTATTGAACAAAGATCAGAGATTAATACTTTTCCAAGAAACTGACGTACTGCATGCAAAACAAAAGCAGAAGTTTCGATGAAGAATTAAAACGAATACATGAAATTAGAAACAACTAAGTATGAAAGACGTGTTAAATTTTTTGCCCTCGCGCCAAGGACAGAAGAACGTGAATGCAATGTTTAAAATGTGAAAACATTCTGTGCCAAGAACACATGAATGTATTTCGTTCAAAGTGTGAAGAAATAAAAAAAGCATGGTGTATTAGAGATGCAATGAAACTTAGAGGCATGATGTTTATTATTTTCATTTATCTTAATTTTAACTCTAAGATTATTTCGGAAATTAATTTTTTGAACCCAATTATTATTAACTTATTTATAATACACGAGAAAAAAACAGTTTTAAACTAAATAATACTATTTTATTGTATTTATATTGGGGTATGATACCCACGCGCCGTTCTAGTAAGTTTTTCTTCATATCTGTCAAGCCGACATTTAATGTAATAAATTGTCATCATACACACTAAATCAAACTCGAAAGTTGTTATTAATTATGCTTACAGAAACAAAGTACTTATACCAGATTTTGTTGATTAATTTGCATTTTTAGAAATAGTTGAATAAATTTCTGACCTTTAATAAATACAGTGAACCCTCTCTAAGATGACCACCAGCAGTTCTACATGATTTTAATTTTGTGTAAAGCTTGTCATTTCAAAAGAAGATGTTCAGTACCAGAATTTGTATATTGAGGAGAAGTAGTCAGTTTCAGAAGTGATCACAAAGAAAAAGTTTTTTACTGTGTTAAAATGATAATCTGTTCCTAACTTTTTTGCAGGGTTTGATTTGGTTTATGTGATTTATAGCATTTATAGCTTCGAGGGCTATCTGCCTAAGCAGAGGGATGCCTTCATGGAGGACTTTCTAAGGGAAACTGGCTTGTATACACGTTACACATGGAGGAAACCACGAAAACGTCTATGCAGCCAGCCTCCGTTCGTGGGATTCGAACTTCAGACCGAACTACCAGTGTTCAGCAACTTTACCGCTTGATGCTGGTGGGCCCCTTTTTTTGCAGGGAAGGAAGTGTTTTGTAAGTGTAGGACATAACATATCTAAATAGTCCATGTTAAGATTTAATCTAGGAAATGAATAATGTTGAAGCTGAAATTAAAATTATATAAATTTGAATATCATGCATGTAATGTTAATCTCAAATTTAGTTTCCTGTGATGTGATT